TATACACGGGTGGGGGCAGGACTATAAGAAGGCTCCAGATTGACCGTGACATTGTGTCCTGAATGTCTCTCTTCAGGCTCATTTCTTTCAGATTCAAACCATTCTTGTTTAAATCATTCTTTAACTAAAACCTGTTACAGGCATGTGGCTCTATTTCCACTATCTGAGCAATTAGAGAGTATTGTGTTTATTATTTTTAAGGGAAAATTTAGATGCTATGACAAAAACTAACTAAATCCAAAGCCCTATCAGCCCCCTGTGATTTTTATCTGAAACTTCTCAGCTTTGTTTTCCCCAGGAAAATTCCAAACTCCCTACATGAAGCTTTCTCCAACAATTATACCAGCCTCTTACTGAGTTTCTTTTGTGTAAAAAGACAGCCTCTCTGACCTGTTCTGTTCCTCCAGTGCCTGACTGAAACTCTACAGAAAAGGCTTTTATTTGCTCTTGCCAAGGGGAAAGAAAGCAGGGTACTTAGCTGGATGAGATAAGCTTTTGCCGGATGACTCCACTGCAGAGCCCATGGGTGATATCAGAGGCCAAGTCTTTTAAAATAGGTCACCTCTTGCCCTGCATAGCTGCTCCAAGTGCATTAACATTATCCAGTGGGAGAAGAGAGGCAGATGAATTTTGATCTTACTCTAAAATGACCATAAGGCTTCCCCCAGCATGGTCATGCCATTTGCACAACAGTGGAGATTCACAGGAAAAGCAATCAGCCACGTCAAGGGGTTGTCATCCTGGCTATAACCAGCCTCCTTCCACTCGGTTCGTTTCTGACCTCATAATGACACCTTTGGGGTAGCTCGGCTTATTGTGTCAGCTTGGCTGGGTGGCTGTGCTAATAAACATTCAAAAGAGTTATGCTAACAAGAGCATGTGGGAGACAAATCCCTTGGTGTTTCTTCCTCCATATTTCAGCAATATAGCCGGGCCAAATCTTGCAGGCTTCCCTGCGAGTGGGTAAAATTTTGCCCTGGGTAAAGACTAAAGCTTAGAGCTCTAATGCTGAAATGGGCTCTGTGCAGGTAGATGGACTTTCAGAAGTGTCTCTCCTTAAAGAAATAAGGCTTCATTTCAGAAAGTCTGTGTATATATCTGAACTGATGGAAATATCCTTTAGACTGAACCTTTCATTGATGAACATGGACCATTTCTCTTCCTGAGGACAGTGACTAAAGCCTGAAACCCTGTTTATTTTGCCAGGTGCTACTCCAGCCTACATGAGGTAAGGGTCACACTAGCTCAGACATTATTCACCCAGCACAGGGGAACGTCCTCAACCGCTTTTTTCCCCAGTGCAGGTGTAAAAAAACCTCTAAAGAAAGCTCCAATCTTATTTTTACATACCTCAACTTTCCAGTAACTTGTATATGTACAAATCTGTTCTCAGCTCTTCATATGATTTCTATTATATCACTTTAAAACAAAAACACAAAAACTGTCAAGGAATTACTTGAGTAATTAGATTCCTGTTAGCTAATTACAGCAGCCAAGAATAAGTTAAACTGGAAAAAAAAGCCGTATGTTGAGATTTGGAATATAATACAGCTGTATTGTGTTTTGTGAGCGATGTTATGGTCTGTGAGGGAGGAAAATGGAGCATCATTAAAAAGTCTCCTTCCCTCATGGCCCCAAAAAGAGAGCAAACCTGTAAGGAGAAGTTATCTGCTGAGAGTTTGGGGTTTGTTTCATATGAGAGAGAGATAGCTGATCATTTGAATTCACATTCTCCATGATATAATTGCCTAGTTGTAAACATGATAAAGAAATTTCTCATTCTGTATAACTATAATTTTTTTGTGAGCAGAATCCTGACTGCACAGTAGTCAACGGGAACTAAAGGATGCTGAGAAACCAGGGATTTCATTCTCTCTTGTGAATCGAGTGATATCACAGTCTGATATTTGTGATTTAGTTTCCGATTATTTCCTGAGCCCTCTCAAGACGAATTTATGCTCAAAGAGTTCAGTAAAGAAATTCAGCTTATAATTGCCAATGGATTTAAGAGGGATTGAAGGGTGGGAAATGCGTGGCTTGTTTGGCTTCCGTAGGTGGATATGTCTGATTTGCAGTAGTTAACTGATGATGTTCTTTCTCACCTTTTATATTCCATTCTCATCGTAAATTCTGTTGTCACAGAGATTTTCTACATGGAATCTCTTGATGCCAGAACTGACCTGTTGTAGTGAGAGCATCGATTCGTACACACATTGACTCTCACAAGGACACTTTCTTAGTAAGACTGTTATAAGAACATGCTTTCATTAATTTATTTAAACTGCTTTCAAAGCATTATAAGTTACACTGGAAAAACACTATTTGTTCAAGGAAGAATGTTCACACAATTATTAATGTAATCCTTCAGTTAGACCAAGATGGCTCTAAGTATTTCCCCAGGCAGAGAGCTCTTGACTGAGCTCCAGCCCACACTGCACTCCAGCTCTGCTCTCTGTCACCACTAAATTCCCCCTTTTACTTCTGCTACAACCCCACTGTCCGTGTCTCTCATTACTACCTCAGCTACACACAAGCACTTCTATCTTCCTTCCGTGTCCCCCTTGCCTTTCATCTTTTCCTTCCCCTCTACAGAAAGAGTTTTTGTTTCTTTTCTACTCTCTGCCTCAGTCTATGGCACTCAGGGATCTCAGTTTCCCTCGTTCCCATTCCTTGTCACCTCTCCTTAAAAAACTATGCTCTCCATTGAGTCTTATCTATCAAAAAGCCTGTCAAAAATAAGCATTCAATGGTCTTTTTGTCTTCAAAAATAAATGCATGTCAAAATGTACCATTGACGAAACTGCATCTTCAACCAGCTCTAGCTTTCCCTTCATCTCACAACTCACTTGAAACACTTCATGTCTGTTGCCTCAGGTCTGTCTCTTTAGGTTGATCTCTGATCTCTGTTTACTGGATTTGAAAAACTGTTTGTTTGTGTGATTTTGTAAGTCATTCTTAAATTTCCATGTTGTCTGATGCCATTCATTGGCTCTATTTGCCCAGCAGATATGAATGATTTCTCTAACTCCATACAGGACCAGTTCGTGTTCCCAAAGTTGCCTGTCCTATAAAGGCTGCTAGGTGAAAGGAAAGGCTGGAAACTTTCCAGTTCTGGTAGGTTTAATGTCACCCCATTAAGAACACTAAACGTGCAAGCCCAAAGAGTTAGAGTTGTGCACATTCTTAGGAACAAGACCTGAAACCTGACAAAGCTGCTGATTGAAGTTTTTCTTCCTTATGCAAGCCTCAGCTTGGCTTTACAAAACATATTTTTAAACTGGGCAAGTTTAGAGTTTCAGGAAGGAATGGGGCATAACTCACTTTTTATTGTTCTCTGCTAGAAGTTCCTGATTTATTAAAATTTCAGCCTCCAAACTAAATCCAGGATCCTGAGCTAAAAAAAAAAAAAATCCAGTGTTGAATCATTGAAGTCCTTGTCTGTTTGGTATACAACTAATAAGAAAGATTACAAGCACATAAATAATCACCCATTTAGCCAGCCTAACTTCATACCCCAAAGTGCTTTACAAAGGCAAATAGACACTGCTATACTTAAATAGGCACTGCTATACTTATTTACAGGTAGGGAAGTCAAGGAAGAGATTAGTCACCTTACCAAAGTTCATACAAATGTCAATGGCAGGAACTGGCCTCCTGATTGTCCTGTCTAATTCTGTATCTGTGGAACCATGCTTTAGTAATCAGCACTGTTTTCAACTACACTTTTTAACCTTGAGTATAGGTCATTTGAATGTCTTTCATATAAAGGTAATGGGAAATATATACCTTGAAAAAATCCAGTATGTCAATTAATGTTTGCAAGATGCACAGATAAAATGGTAAAGAATACAATAGAAAATGCAGTCCATCTGCTGGGACTGGCTCGTCCCCTCACACAGCACACCACAAGCAGCCAATATCTAGAGAATAAGTTAGATAAAGTGATATTGCCTAAACCTAATTCTTCCCTCAGATCTACATTTACAGATCTGCCACACCTCAGTGGAAATTGCACAGTGATATCTGCAAATGGAAAATTTTAGAAGGGGCGTTGGTACAGTGAGAGATTGATGTCTCTGTTTTTAATGGCATTTTATTTTAGAGCTCCAAACTACTGTGCATCAAAGATCCTACATGATCTTCATCAAATATTTGGGAAATCATCATCAGAAGACAGACGCTTTCAGGCCATTAACCACATCAAGACAACAGTAGAAAAATAATTCAATCTCATGCAAAAACTGGTTGAGTGCAATGGTTAGGAAGATCCTTGACCCTCCTCTGCTTCATACAGTTTTACTTAGTTGTTCAGACAGGTTCTCAGAGATGCTTATTTCATTAGAAGTTTCTAATATTGACCATTTCTGCCATGCCTACAGTCCAAAGCAAATTAAGGCAACAAAAGTAAGCAGTTCCAGGAAAAATTTCAGTCCACTAATGTCATGAAACTTTTAAGATGAAAGATTAGTCTTTCTTCAGCTTTGGTTTGCTAATTTTGCATATTACTGTTAGGTGCTCTTCAGTACCAGTATTGGTATATTAATAACTTAACTGAGGTGAGGTTCTTATTATTATTTGAGTCCAGTAGAGCCCTTCATGAGTTTGCTGCTCACCATTTGGCAACCAAGCCTTTTCTGACCATAGAAGAAAGTGCAGTCCTTGGGCAGAGCAGCCACGTATCCTGACAGCCACCGGTGAGCACAAAGCCCTGCTGCGAACCTGGCCAAAGGACCTGCTGCTAAAGGCACTCCATCGCTTGCTGTGCTAATTCACAGACAAAAAAATGGAATTTATGTGCTTTAGATGTAGTGCTTATGTCTAAATGCTAATCAGGGTCTCTGGTCTTCTGAGACACACAAAAGAGAAAGAGAAGTTGTAAATCAGAAGGGTAATTTCTTATTTACAATAGTGCTGTAGGGTTCAGGGCAGAGTTGCAAGGGTTAGCACTGAGAAACACTTTTGTACTAACTTTTCTCTCTCCATACCTTTTCCTCCTCTAGAAAAAGATGAGAAGAGAACAAACATCTCACAGGCAGAGGTAAGTTAAATCTTTTTTTTTAAAACATGTTTATTGTTAAAATAGGTTTGTTGTTAAAACCCCTTTGAAACTCACTGATTCATGCTGGTTAATGTTTTTATTTACATTGTCACTCCATCTTCAGTAACACAACCTTTTAAGAATCATAGCTTTCAAACCAGGGCTGTGTAAAGCTGTATTGCATCTCAGCTCTGCCGGCTCTCCCTTCTCCCTGTAGCAGGGAACTGGGAAAGGCAAGTTTCCCCTCTGCCTTACTGCCATGCCCTGGCAAATCATAGCAAACCTGGCCCAAGGTGACCCTGCCAGGTCACCTCATCCAGCATGGTTTTGGGTCTGCAGATCACTGCTGATCTACAAAAGCATTGCAAACTCCTCCCTCCTCCTCCCATCATTTGCCAAGCCCACAGCAGGCAGCACATTGATGTTGTTTGCACAAGAGTTAAAAGTCAGCTCCTCCGATCTCGTTTTCTAACCTCCCCTTGCATAGCTCCTGCAATTCCCCGATCTCTTTCTCCTTCACCCATTGCTCAGAGAAGCAGGCAGCGCTTTAAATAGCCGTAGGAGGTATTGATTGGTTCAAATTTGGACTCAGATACAGACTTATAAAGATTTACTGGGGCGAGGATCAACAACCTATCCCACAGTGTTTATAAATAGCTTTCTCTTTCAAAAGAAGACAATATTTTATTTATAAATGTTATAATTCCATCCATTGTGATAAGGTAAGGTAATAGGATTGGCCACACTTGTGTGAAAGTGGTTTTCTTAAGAGCTGTCTCAGATGTTCCTTGAAGAAATAGATCTGATTAAAATTCACAGACTGTATACCAGTCAAAGTACTCAGGGAAAGAGCCATTTTTAGCAAATATTTGGGAAAAGGCAACATCGTTATGACCAAATACAACTAGAAATTGATTAGATGAGAAAAATTAAAGTTTGCCTACACACAGCTTTTTTAAAATCTTTTTCTTAGGAATGTGATATGGTGCTTATGTCTTCAAAAGCTAGCTATGTGTGTGACCTTATGTAGTTTTATTGTCCTTTGCATATGGACATATTTCATGTTGATATAATATGGACACCAATTTAACCGCTTTCATTTTGCAAAAGTTGCTCTGCTTTAGCACTGGAATGTATTCCAGTTAGTTTTTGCTAACTACACATTGGTACAATTATACTACTATTACTCTATGTGTAATTTTACTACCATTATTTTGGAATAATTTATCTTTTGTGCATAGATGTGATTTTGGGGTCATAAAAAGTGTAACTGTGTCGAAATAGATCACTTAAATCAGACCCAGTTAAAGGCTGAGTGATTAGTTGCTGAAATTATTATTTTAGGAATAATAGAACACATCGAAAAAGTGCAGGGGGAGGGATCTTCCTTTTATTTATGTAAAAATTTACACTGTATTTAACTGGAATATTGGTTAATGAAAATCCTGCAACCATTTTAATATATGGAAACATTTATTTGCCTTATGAGAATCAGTTACATAGACTGTTAAAAGCACAGGCTATCTTAATACTATGCTTAACAATATGTTTTTAGAGTGAAGGGTAATTTTCAGTAGTATTGAGTTTTGTTTTGCCTGGGAGCCAGAAAGGTTGTCCATTAAACACATATTTTTTTCCATCTAATCTTAGTTTTCCCTGTGTTCATGAAAGCCCGGGAGCCGGCATCAGATTTATACAATATAATTTTCTTAGAAACTTCTCAGATTGGTGTGTGCACCCTCTGAAAGCAGCTGTGGGGCAAGACCCAGAGCTGTCATGAACAGAAAAGTCTCCCCGTGCCCGTCTCTTACTGCCTCTCTCTGTGTTTTGTCCCTCCCCAGTCCCAGAGCGCCTCTCCCAAGCAAAGGAAGCAGAGCGTCTTCACCCCGCCTGCCCTCAAAGGTACTGTGCAGGTACTGTCTCTGCCCTGGCAGGGCACGCTCCCCTTGCGCCGTGGCTTTGTGTCTTCTCTTGCAGAGGAAGCACTGGGGCATGAGCAATGGCCCTCTGCCCATGAGCAGCACAGCTGTGAAACGTTCATGCTTAGCCATCGCTGTTTTCACACTTTGAAGTGACTATCTGGCATTGACCATCTGCCTGATACTGACCATCTATTTATCCTCACCACAGAATCTTGCAGCAGTGGCAAATTTATTTTTTTTTTTAAAGCTTATTTTTTTGCAAAGCCCCGATACATTTATTCATTTGCGATAACAGATAATTCCATCCCAAACATTGAAAAGAACTCCTAGAATACATACGTTTTGGCAGTGCTGGCTCCATACAGGTCTCTGTTTCTTATTTAAACCACTCCCGTATGTTCTGCCTCCCTTTCCAGGCAGCTGTGAAAAGGAGAATAGCCAAAGTTGTGGGCTGGGTATCTGATCATAGGAAGTGTGAAGCCTTTCTTGTGAAGACAGGGGGAAATGAGAAATCCTGGTAAATGTTTTAAGGGCTTACATGCTTTTCAGGAATGAACATAAAAGCAGCAGGAATATTAACTGGGATCAGAACAGCTACATTTAGACCTTGTTTCTCAAATGACTCTGAACAGAGTTTGACTTGACCATGCTTGCAGTGAAGCAAGGTCTACAGTGATTCACCAGCACTTCAGCCTGACCCTTGTCAGTGCGGGATCATTTTCAGACTGCAGACCAAAGGCTATCCTGCCAGGTGTCTCTTGATAGATAATGAATAGTCTCAATTTCCATTCCTTCTGCTTAACACAATTTATTACCTGGCAAAAAAGGTAGGGTATCTGACTACTTGTGTGAAGTACTGCCGCTGTTGTTAGGTGCTTTACCACACCAGCCAGTTTGACGTATCTCATTCTGCAGCTTCAATTCTCTAGTACTTGTCTTAGCAACAGTTAAAACATCACTCAGGTGCCGCACAAGACTTACTATCTGTTTGTCAAAATGGGCTAAAGTTTGTGTACTGGATATTAGAAATAAGATTATTACAGTCAATTGTAATAAATTGTGGAAGGAAGAAGCTTTGCATGGGTAGCAATAATACCTATTGATCTCACTGCTGTATTATTTTGCTGTACAAGCCTAAATTAAATACTGTGCAAATGAAGTGCTCTGTGAAACAGGTCCTTATATCTCCCCTCAAGGACTGCAGCCTACTCAGTGTTACCTTTAATACCCTGCTGAGACCTGGGGAAGTACCTGGCATAGTTTGCTTCTACATCAACTTAATTCCCAGGGACCAGTAGGAAAGTAGGAAAGTAAGTGATTCAAGATAGATCACAACTAACCTGAAATATCTTGTAAATGGAAGAAAGCAAAGCACAAAATGCCTCTCCTTGATACCTTAACACCCTAAACTACACAGTATTCCCAGATACACAGGTGGACACCTGGAAGTTGATAACGATTCCTATAAGCAGTCTGGATTGCTCCAGATTTACCATACTGTAACTGCCATAAATACTATCCTTTTTATTTAAAAATTACTTGAAGTAGAAAATTCATTATTCCTTCCTTTTCATTGTTATAAAAACATGAATGTTATTTTGTTTAGACTAAGAGATTAGGAGGCAAACATGTAGCAATGTGAAATACACAATGTTATGAAAGCATTACTGAGAAATACAGAGTTTTTGTAATGATTCTATTTTTATAGCAGTTGAAGACAGCAATATTCAGCAGTATTTTCAGCATAACAGGCTTCATAATTACACACTATTCCCACAGCTTTGCACATGTTTATTTCCTGTGGGCTGTTTCTCCTTCAGTATATTCACAATATGGTCTTCAATATACAGTAGAGAATGAGATTCTGCATGCTGAGCCTCTCTCCTTTACACCCCCTTTGGCTGCTCCGTATCCTCCAGGGCTGTTATTAATGGAAGATGGGCTAGACCAGATTCAGTACCTTACATTCGAAGATGAAGATAATAAACCTCTATAAAACAGAACTTGTAGTGGAAAAGAGGGACTAACATTTCCATTTGTTACATTTCTCTGGCATTTTAGTAGTTTTTAGCTGCTGTTAATTCAAAGTTACCATAAATAAGCCAAGTTGCAGGCGGGTGTGGAGCCTGGAAGCCAAGACAGCAGACACATACGCAGAGCTGTGGGAGAGACGAGGGACCATGGCACATGCTTTGCTCTATGCCTGCAGCAGAGACGTGGTCGAGAGAAACCGTGGGGAGAGTCATGCTTCAGCCTGCCTCCAAATCTCCAAGTAGCTCTTGAGATTATTATTTCTTCTTTGAACTGAAAACATTTTTGCTGCACTTCTTGCAAGTTCCTTGAAATAATTACAAAACTGTGTGAGAGAAGAGTTGCCGGTTTCATGAATTCATGGCTAAGCAAGAGAGAAAACAAGAGTAAATGAAGCTGCATGTTGTGATTACAAACAAAATCAGAAATTGTTAGCATGGTTAAAATGAGTGGAAGCAACATCAGACAAGAGTGATGACTAGTTACAGTACCAAGACTATAGTACATGTTACATGGAATATGCAAATACATGAACTTATCTAAAGTAAATGAAAATGCAGTATTGCTTATGTTCTACATGTCATGGTAAATATATGGAGATCAGCTTCTTAGTTAATGTGGGCAAATTTTTCCCCTCTGCCATAGCAGTCAGGTAAACTGAGAGACAATATTATTATTTGTCTAACATTGCCCCCAAATATTTTGGTTCCATCCTTACAACGGCTTGTTCTAGCTCGAGGCGGGTCTGTAGTTGCTGCAGCAAGCTGTAGCAAACCCATGGGTCTGCAGAGCCAGTGTCATGTTATGGTGCACCAGGCAGGTTCTTATTACTATATACTTGTGTGTACTTTGGCTCCTGCTTTTATTTTCCTAAATGAAAATGCACCAGAGTCCCTACAGATGGAGCAAATAGCTGACTCATCTCAGAGCATTGTTCTTTTTACAGGAATACAGTGTGCTGGAAAAATCAATGTGAGAGCTATTGATTTAAGTGGTAATCTGGAGAGCGAATCAGACAGCAAACCAGATAACAGCTCAGTGCAGTGTTCTTGTTAGCATTATATTACCAAACCTAATGGATGTCAAAGAGGTTTTCCATTTTGCTTTCAAAAATATTTCTTTTCCTAACCCTGCTACACTAACGTTTGTTAATTCCACACTCTTACGTAGCACGCACTGTTGGCAAAAGTCACTATCTGAGATTGCACCAAATTAACCCGTCATGTTTTCTCTATGTTGTGATTTACCTCTTGTCACATTGTTTTCTAGGTAGAGCAACACTCTTAACTGAGGATTCATCACGTCTATTTCCCCTGTTTGTGTCACTTTTTCCTTCTGTTACTCTTGGGCTTTTATGTCTGAACTTCAAATTCTCTCATCCTTCTATAACTTCCAATGTTCTAATACGCTAATCTTGAATCTCCATCACTTTCTTTCATTTTAAGCTCTTCTTCATGCGCAGAGGTTGGCTTCAACCTCCCTATGAAAAACACCATAAAAACAACCAGAGGAAGGTTTCTCAATTTGAAGAGTCACCAATTTTACCTAGGGCATTCTTTTCCAGTCAATTCTCATTGTGTAAGGCCTGTTTCTGTTATTTACTAATCTGCTTCTCATTCTGTATGACAAAACCAAGAAAAAGCTTTTGGTCTTTTTCCTCTGTACAAAGTAGAAGTCCAACTGTTTTAGCACAAATATCCATCCATCCATCCATCCATCCATCCATCCATCCATCCATCCATCCATCCATCCATCCATCCATCCATCCATCCATCCATCCATCCATCCATCCATCCATCCATCCACAAATAGTATCCTTAGAGATATCTTCATTATTCTGGTTGATGGGCTAGAGGAGCCCCTGGAAGCCTTGCTGGATTCTCACCCTTTTTCCCATCCATCCATCCATCCATCCATCCATCCATCCATCCATCCACAAATAGTATCCTTAGAGATATCTTCATTATTCTGGTTGATGGGCTAGAGGAGCCCCTGGAAGCCTTGCTGGATTCTCACCCTTTTTCCCTCACACTCGCCAGAGAAGTCTAAAATGGGACAATAACCCCCCCAGGTAGAGAGGGACCAAGTGGAAGGCAGCTTAGACTGCCAAGGCAGAAGCAGATTGCACTTATCTCAGGTAATGGTGGTTCCTTGGCATTTCATTACCACTAGAAAATCAAAAGAGCACATTTGAGTCTCAGAGCTACAACTGCAACTTTCCATCCCAAGGCATACTTTGTACAGAGGCAGGTTTCCTTTTACCTAGATAGTCACGTTTTGTTTGGTATATCAGCTCATCCTTGAAAGGAAACGCAGACTGAAGTGACAGGAAACAAGGTTTACAAAGACAAACAGAAGACAGCCTGAGCTGTTCCCAAACCTGCATCCCTCCCTAGAGCTCCCAGGTCTCCACATTATCTACCAGCTATTGCTATTAATACTAGCAGCTATTTAAATACCCCAAGGTCTCCCCCTGTGAAGGAAGTGCATTCCCGAGTGGTTTGAGGATTTCATTGAGTCCGCTGGTGTGAGTGTGCTAGAGGTCAGGGAAATAGGAAACCTTCACTCATCCTAGTTTACCCTGCAGGAGGCTATTTAGATCAACATCAAGATCCTACTAATTTCAGTGGGCTTTAAAGAAAGTTCTTGCAGCTTTCTGTGTTCACTGGACCACCTTTGCAATTAGCTGTCATCAAATCATAATTAAAGTCTTTCCCCACAGAGGTGAAAGGTACATGTGACTGTTTTCCCTCTCAGCCTTTTGGGAAATACATCCTTTAAATTCCCCTCTTAATGTATTTTTCTCTGCATAGAAACAAAGACTTTTTCTTGAGCTAGGCCCCAGCTACAACATTTGAAATGGGATTAAATCTGAGTTGTTATAAATCTAAGGAACGTTCAAAGACATCATTTTGGTTTGACTCATTAAAACAACCAGGACTCACTGGC